TTAAATACAACACAGTAACACCATCATTTCACTTGTGAAGGAGATGCATCTTAAGATTTATATTGGCTAAAGTATCACTTCTCTGTTTGTGTGTGTGTGTGTGTGTGTGTGTGTGTGTGTGTGTGTGTGTGTTGTTTTCCTTTATTATAAAGTACTTCTGCAAAACGACTAAGGCTGTTGTTACTTAAAAAACCTGATCACTTCACTAAAATACCTCATTTTAAATGAGAATTTTGTAGATTTTGGGCCATTGGAACAGGCCACAGAAGAACACTAAATCTCTCTCATTCATTTGGCTAGAGAAGAGTTTTCTTGAGACAGGAGGCAAACATTCTTCTGTATGAGTTAAAGCATTCCTCAATGGGGTCCTCTTCTCTGTAGTCTTCAGAGTAAAGTTGGGATTGGGGCTAGTTACAAACTAGAATGCAGCAGGGCCTCCTTGCAGCATTCTGCATGCTGCACTCTAAGCTCTGCAGCTCCCTGAGAGACCTCATCTTCTCCAGGGTAGCTCCCAGCTTGAGCTACTCTGCAGATGTACAAGCCACTCATATGGGCTCCAGATGATATAGTAGCTGAACTGGCATGAACCACTGGGCCCCATTCTGTTGTATCTTGAGATAGAACATCTCTGTTTACCAGGCCACCTTGAAACTCACTGTTAATATGAGCCTGCCTGATATTTGCCATCCTCCTGCTTTAGTCTCTCAGTGCTGTGGTTATAGGTATTGGTTTTCATACCTGGAGAGGACATTAAAAAAAAAAACAAACAAAAAACTGTGCTTACACACACACACACACACACACACACACACACACACACACCTCCTTACCTCTGTATACCTGTATTTCTTAAATATATTCTTTCAGGTTCAAATTATTAAATTTTAGGTTTGAATTGGTCTGGCTTTGTTCATAGTATATCTACCTGCTGCATTCAAGGAAGTGATCATTAAGTTTAGATCTTAGGGAAAAGGCTAATAGAAAGGTCCTGCAGAGATTGAGGGTTTAACCTGCTTTTAGTGCTTGGGATAGAACTGGGATGGGGGTAAGAAAGTTTTGCTGCTGAATGTTCTGTAAGAACTGGTAGTATTGTGTGCTGTGGACTTCCCAGAGATCAGGCCAGTCTTATTACAGAGCCTTCTGAAAGACATAGCAGAGGTATAGAAGCAAGGCCTGGAAGCAACTGAGGTACTGGTAGATGCTGTGCCCTTGATGGCCGCTATTTGGTAAAAGCCTCATCCAGCTTAGAACAGGAAGCTGAATGCCTCCCGATCTGTGTTAGCCCATGGGTTCCAATTCTTGCCTCTCCTGCTCTGTGAAACAGAGCAACTACATGTTTTACCATTCTCCTTTCTACTGCATCTGTTCTGAGAGACTTCTAGTACAGCGACTGCTGTTTTAGGCCTCAGCAGGTTTTAAGAAAAAGGAATTAGGAGCAGGTGGTCATAATGTCTTTACTGAGGACTGAACCCATAACCCGCAAAAGCAGTATTCTACCACTGGGCCACACCACCCACCCTACCCTCCTCCTTTATTTTTCACTTCTTTTTTTTTTAAATGTCACTAAAATGATTGTGATTTGTCTCTGGTGTTTTGATGGCAGTGATTTAACATTCTGTGTGGGATGCCCTGTAGTGAATATGTATGTTCCTCAGCCCTTGTTGACATCACAGAACATTATTAGGTTGAAGATGTGTCTTGATATTTTCAGTTGATGCTCAATTGCTCATTAGCTGTTGCTTTGGTTTTGCCTTGCTACCTGGCATAACCAGAAATTAGCTGAATTTAGAGTTTTAGCAAGGAAGCATGCTTGTAGATTAGGAAAGGCAGTGTTCTGGTAGAAAGGTTTGCTTCTTCAACTGTGGTGAAATACGGAAGGTTGTACCAGTGCAATAAGGAAGGAGGGGAGGGAATTTCAAATCTGTTCATCAGAGCTTGTCATCATTGCATGATATGTGTCAGTGAGCACTTCTCTGTGGTGTTCTGTCAGACCCAACTTCCTGTAATTCATTGTGGGTGCTGACCATAAGTCAGCTCAGCTTAGACTGCAGCTTGAATACAGCTGTAAGCTTGGAAATCTGGGTTTGTTTGGGATCATTAAAATAACAGCTTCGAGTATTTTTTAATATTCAGAAAATTAAGCTTATAGAAAGCTACAGCAACCATATAAATAATTTTCTGTATGCTTCCTAACAGAGTCTGACCTCCTTTAATATTTGACCCAAAGTATTATTGTATTATTCTAATCACAATATTCCTTGGTTGTTGTTGCTGGGTTTTATGGTTGTGTCCACATATGTGGAAGCCAGGGGACAAGTTCAGATGTCATTCCTTAGGAGACAAACACCTTGTTATTTTGAGGCAGGTTGATTTCCCTGACTTGGGGCCAGCACATTTAAATAATTCTCCCTGGCCAGAGAATCCCAGGGAGCTTCCTGTCCGACTCCCCGGCACTGTGTTCCACTGCCCTGTTTGTTTACTTGAGTTCTGGGGGTCTAACTCAAGTCCTGTCCTTGCACAGTAAGTTTTTTTTTTTTTTCCCCCAACAATTAGTGTTTTCCCTGACTTTTGAGAATTGACTTGTGTGCATCATATTGTGTTACCTTGTATTCTTTTAGCATATGGACATTAGCGTATGTTCCTCATCAATTAATTTCCAGTTGTATGGAGTTACCTGTGGGGTGCACCTTCGTCCACCAGCTTTTTTTTTTTTTTAAGATTTTATTAATTTATTTATTATGTATACAGTCTATGCCATCTTCTACATGCATGCCAGCAGAGGGCACCAGATCTCATTCAAGGTGGTTGTAAGCCACCACGTCGTCCACCAGCTTTAACCCTCTCTGATAATTTTACCTGAGTCACTTGTTACAATGGTAGTAACTCAGGTAAATAGTGTGAGCTCAGAACTGCAAGAAGGAATGTTGCAGATGTTGTGTGCCTTAGCTTGTGTTGGGCAGGAACTTGTATAGATTGTTTCCAACACTTTATACCATATGAGGTGTCTTCTTCCCTCATTTAATAGCACTTCACATTTGTGTTCCTATTTTTCCTTCTGGAGGTTGCTTCTTCCAGTTTCTTATAATTGTTTCCTCCAAGAAGATGTCTTTCCTACATTTATAGCCATTCTGTCATGTTCCTGATACAGCTAATTTACTAGTATTGTACTTGACTATATGATACTCACTGTGGCCTGCCATCTAATCTAGCCTGAGGCTGAAGAGCACTGAGTGGAGGGGAGAGAAAGATCCAGCCTCAGTTCCATAGTATGTGAAGAGTATTTAATGTACAGAGGCTTGTTGGAAGGAGGGTGAAACATGTCTGTAAAACTCTTGTGTGGAAGGTTTTCTAGAAGGTTACAAACTTCGTGAAATGTTGAGTTATTTCTTAGATCCTTTTTAAAATTATTTTGTGTCCCCCACATGTGCTTTATTTTACTTTTTAAGGATTTATTTATTATATATGCAGACTGTCTGCATGTATGCCTGCACACCAGGAGAGGACACTAGATCTCGTTAGAGATGTTTGTGAGCTACCATGTGGTTGCTGGGAATTGAACTCAAGACCACCAGAAGAGGAGCCAGTGCTCTTAACCGCTGAGCCATCTCTCCAACCCTGTCTTAGTTCTTTTGTGTATTTCGTCATTTATTCCTCTTGATAACATGGTATAGCATATGTGCAGCATTTTAGCATTAGATCATGTAATACTTGTCAAGTTGGTAGCTTTGGAAGTTACTTATTGTACTTTTAAATGTCATGCTGCAGCTGTTAAATATTTATCCTATATTCATGAAATAGTAAAGCTTATTTTAAACTTTACTATAGATAATATATATATATAAAGCCAGTGTGCATATATAGAAGGGAGATAGTTATGTGGATTTTCAAGGACAGTTTTCACTGAAATTTATTTTGCCTGAAGTTTATTGCCAATAAGAAAGAAAAACAGTGCGCCTAGAATCTGTTCCTGTATGTAGCGCTCTCCCATAGCAATGAGGCCAGAATTTTAAAAATAGATTGGATAAATTATGGGCAATAATACTAGTAAGAGTACTCTGCATCAGATTTCTTACATTGTGGGAGGCATGGCTGGACGAGGGGTGCATAAAACATGTATGTGGAGGTCTGAGAACAATTTGAGTCAGTTCTCTTTCCATCAGTAGATTCTGGGAATCAAATTCAAGTCCTCAGGCTTGGCTGCAAGATCCCTTTCCGGCTGACTTATCTTACTAGTCCCTGCATTAAAATTTTAAGTAGTATGTCATTTTTATCTAGAAATTTTTTTTAAAATAAATGGAATCTTCTAACTAAAATATTTCTGTTTCTGCAGTGCAAAATGTTATCCTGGCTGCCTATGTGTACATTAATAAAATGGATAGGATTTTATCTTAACTGTAATTCCTAATTTCTAAACATTTCAGTTTTGTGTTTTGTTTTAAAAGTTCAGTTTGAGTAGGATTATATAATTCTTACAGAAATGTAGTCTTATTTTCCAGAGAAGCTTTCTTGCATTTGATTAATGTGCAGCAGAGGTGGTACTATAGGGACAGAAGCTGGGGACCTGTGCTGCAGGTCTTTAAGGAATACATCAGAACAGCTAGCACCTACTGCTGTCAGAACAAGACTGGGACCTCTGTCTCTAAAAGCTGGGACAGAGCTGTCCTTGGTGAACTGAAGGCGCTCCATCTACCACTTGTAAAGAGGTGGCAGTTATTCTAAATTAATTGTTAAGCTTCAGAAACATTGAAGAATGCCTAGTTTAACTAACTTTGGGTCAAGTGGTTATAAAAAGTAACCCTTGTTCACATAGCCTATGGCCCTGTGTAGAATAATTGGTAGGTTATGATTATGTATTACTACAATTATTCATCTCAGCGCCCTTTTTTTGTGTCACTAATATAGTGAAAACATTCCTTTAACATTTAGATAATTAAAATGTGATAAGTTTACATGATAAGTTTTAACTGTCTCAACTCTGTTTCATGTTAAATGTGTTACAGGAATGAATCTGAAGTCTGCTGCAGTAAAACACTGAAGGCTTTAAAATGTTTTCTTGCATAAAACACAAACTTTAAGTAGCTGCTTATGAGGATAGGAAAGGCAGGAAGCTAATGTCTGTCTCAAGACACAGGACAGCTGTTTGCTCATCAACCTCAACTGTGTGAGTAGAGACTTAAGCCTGTAACCTTATGTAAGTGGACATAGAACTTAATTTTTAAAAAATCAAAGTACATGAAGACACACCTAAGTCATGATAATATTTTAAAGCCCCATTTTCTGGTGGTAGGATTTGAGGGGTGGACTGGGTAGCAGGTATTTAGTCATAAGATACTGTTCACAGTAACACAATGCTGGTAACCACACACCTTTACAAATTATCCTAAGACTTAGAATCTGCATGACTCATTTTCTTCTGAAGAAAAAGATTGTGATTTTTTAGATTGCTGTTTGTTTTAGACTTAATTTCAGCCAACAATAAAAATTTTATTTTGGAATTTGTGGTATTAGTATGGAAAATTGTCCCTGATAATTTAATACTTTAAATAGAACATTACATTACCCTTCCATCCTTCTCTCCTTCCTTCCTTCCTTCCTTCCCTCCCTCCACATTACATTACCCTTCCATCCTTCTCTCCTTCCTTCCTTCCTTCCTTCCTTCCCTCCCTCTCTCCTCCCTCCCTTACTTCTTGGTTTGGTTTTGATGCAGGGTTTCTCTGTGTAGCTTTGGAGCCTGTCCTGGAACTTGATTTGTAGATCAGCCTGGCCTCAAACTCACAGAGATCCACCTGCATCTTCTTCCCAGGTACTGTGATTAAAGGTGTGCGCCACTACCACCCAACATGGAATGCTTATTTCTTAAATGCAGTTTGAAATGTAACATACTTTATTATTAAAATACTTGGACAAGATAAATTTATAGTGACAGGAAAAGGGATTTTTCTCTCTTTCCTAAAGTTACTACCTCAACAATCCTCTTAGGAAGTCACCTTTTTCTCTGTTTCAATTTGTTGTTAATGGATTTTAGAAATGAGGCTCTAGCTTGGATTCCCTTCTCTTTAGTAGAATGTGTGGTTGTAAGGCTGACTTCTTGGAAGTGTGAGGGATGGAGCAGGGTAGTTAGCCTGTCCAAACTCGGCATTTAACTGTGAGTGAGGCATAGAGCCACAGAGGCTGTTTGCTTGGTGCATTTGCATTTAAGATGAGCCACTTTCTCTCAATTATCACAGACTATACTTACGAACATCGAACAAGAAGATACAGAAAGCAGTGAAGAATACACATTGAATATCGATATTCCTTTGACAGTGAAGATTTTTGTTTGCCCACTCTGTGGTCAGGTGTTACACAGATGTGTATGTCCAAGAAACTCAGAGGGGTGATACTATGATCCTTTAGTTAAGAATGACAAGACTCACTTTACTGGTGTTCTGGGTTATTTATTGAACAGGCAGTTTTACTCTTTAGCCAGTTTTTTGGCATTGCTCTTTAAGCGCTCGCACACATGTGCGCAAGCGTGTACACACACACACACACACACACACACACACACACACACACACACACACACCACTCTTTCCTCTCTTTTTAGAGTCAAAAATAAAATTATAAGTGAACGAAGCCTTTCAGGTGAACTAATGAAACTTTTGGTCAAATTATGCAGAAAAAAGACTCAATAGGAAAGGGAAGCCTGATTGATAACTAGAAGGCTTTTGTGAGCCAAGTGAGTGGGTAAGTGGGTAGCAGGAGCAGGTTTCTCTCTGGCTTCTGACACTCTGTAGGGTGTCTCTGTTCTGTAGTACTCTTGTCAAAAGCGTGCTAACAAGCAATGCCTACTTCAACAGAAGGTCTGTGTGGAGGATGTGCATGTTCTGTCTGCTCTGCCCGTTACCTCACTGGGAGATGTGTAGGCTTGTTGATCCAGTTCTCTCTTACCTGGATTTACACGTTCATTTTGGCCTCCTTTGCTGCTGCATTTATTATGCAGCATGATTAAGATGGAATTCTAGCTACATGAGAGCCAGTGGCCATGCGATTAATAGCCAGATGATACTGAGGAATCCCTTAGTCCTCCTATGCCTCTGTAAAACGCAGTGATAACTTTCTATCTAACGCAATAGTAAGTTTCAGTGATGCATAGCACTTGCAAATGATTGTCACTGATACTATTAAGTCTGTTTCTTCTTTGAGAGGAACAATACTAGGAAATATAAATCCTCAAACTAATAGTTTAGTTTTCTTTAGTTTTTGTCATGCTGAGGATTGAATCTGGGGTCTCATTCATGCTAGGCAAGTACTCTTATCACAGCTACATTCTCAGTCCCCAAATGATAGACTTTAAAGTTACATTTATTTGTGTGTGTTGACATTATGCATGCACACACTCTCCCCAGTGTTGAGTCTGGAGCTCGGAGGATGACTGGAGGGAGTCAGCTATCTCCTTCCACCACTGAGCCATCTCTCCTCAGCCCAAGCTTAAAAATTCAGAAACCATGAACATAATTGGGCTAAAGTACCATAAGAAACATCCCAAGCACAGTGAGTGATGACCTTTATGCATCTGTCTTCCCATTCTCAACCAGCTGCCAATATCCATCCATTTCACATTCTTTCTGTTGTTGTTTTTTGAAACAGAATTTTTCTGTGTAGCCCTGGCTGTTCTGGAACTTACACTGTAGGCCAAACTGTCATGGAACTCACAGACATCTGCCTGCCTCTGCCTCCCTAGTGCTGGTATTAAAGGCATGTGCCACTAATGCCTGGTTCCATTTCACACTTTTGAGAGTTACATGAGGATTAATGACTTAGTGTTTTGGACAGTGCTGTTTTAGAGGATAACAATGAGTGTGATTTCTATTGATCGCTTCATTCTGTTTGTCTTGCCTGATGTGGGTGTTGGAAATTGAACTTGGGTCTTCTGCAACAGCAGTACACTAGTGCTTTTAACTTCTGAGCCATCTCTCCAGCCATGAAATAATGTTTCTAAATATGAAATTGGTAGGTGATCAAGCAGTCGTAAAGATACTGAGGTTTGTCAGTGACTTCGTTTTGGATTAAAGTTCACCATCTGACTTCTTCATGCTATGCAAATGAAGGGACTAACCATACCCAGGTGCTGATACAGTATTTTCTAATCCAAAACATCTTGGAAGACTGATAGATGGGCATTAGTGGTTCAGGAAAGAGCAAGTCAGAAAATGATTTAAGAGAGTTTGTGATGATCCACTGAAAGCTCAGAATAATTGGTTTCCACACTGATAATCACACTTACTGTATATTTGTAAATACTGTAGGTATTAGGGAAGATACCAAGAGTAGAAACATGGTCTTACATTCTCAAGGAAATCATGACTTATTTACTGACTGTTAATGAGGACTAGAACACACATGGAAACAGGAATCTGTTTACCATGAAGAAGACCACAAAAAAAAAAAAAAAGATTGTCAACTAGACTTACAGGTTGTATATGTTACTTCTTGTGTGTCTGATATCTCCTTTGCCTAGATTATAAGTAGATCCACAGGTCTAGCTAGCTTGCCTGAAGGTATTTCCCCTGTTTTCAGAAGTTTGGCAAGAGCTAAGCACTGTAAGTGATGCAGACTATCAGACAAGAAAATTATTGGGAACATATAAGTAGCACATGTAACTTACTGTTACATGATTAAGAAAGGGATATGTGATGTTGTTCTATCCCACGGTATTTTTTTTTGGTGATAATAGTTTTAGGATTTGATAACCTCTGTCCCATCTCAGCCTGGCACACAAAGGATTTGAACCTTGGACTTTGGGCCTTTTAGGCAGGACTTATATGTCCCTGGTCATTTTCTTCTTTTCCAGGGGTGGGCTACTGACCCTCCTGTTAGCCTATTAGCCTCTGAAGTGATGGGATTATAGGCTTGGACAACCAGGCCTTTCTCCAGTTTTTAATCTAGATGTAAAGTTTAGAAAACTTAGGATGAATTGGTGAACTGTTACATGGAAAACATCTCAATTTAGAAATTTAAGGTGACTGTCTAATTGGTCTGATGGCACTAATATGCTCTAAGATGTTGATGGTGATTGACCTTCCCTTAGCTTGGCCTGCTGCTGTTATGGGTTGGTTCTTAGGGACATAGAATACTGCTGCCAAATGCATTTTAGCCATTTGAACTCCTTGTTCAAATAAAATCTTTTATGGAAATTGGGCATTGTATAAATACCAAAAGGGAACTGTTGGACTTGGAGCAGTTTTGTGGTGCACTGTGCCCCACTGTTCAGTATTATTTTTCTGCCTCCTCCCACTTACCTCCTGCTGCATATCTGATTGTACAAAACTTTTTGACCACATAAACCTTAGAAAAACTATATACATTGTTGTACTTTTTAATTTTTTAGTCTGTAATTCTGACTCTTGATAGACAGCCTGTTATCTGAAGTTAGTTATGATACTATGGATTTGTAATTGGGAAAATGACACCCGGAAACAAGACTATAGAGTCCTGTGTTTTATTTAACAGGTATTGGTGATCATATCATTCTTTTCTACGTACAAGCAGTGTGGAATTCCCTTGTGTTATCTGGATGAATGTGCTATCTTCTGAGTGATTTGTTTTTCCTTAGAATATTGTGCCTCTTCAGTACTCTTATTATTCCTACTAACTGGTAGAGTGAATAATACCAACTAGTTTAGTTCTTTTTCCTCTTTGTGCAGTCCGGGATCCCAGCTCATGCAAAGGCTCCACCCACTTTCAGGGTGGGTCTTCCTTTCATAATAGATACATACACACTGAGAGGTATATGTCCATGGTGATTCTAAATCCAGTCGACAATGAAAATTAGCTACCACAGACACCACCTCTGGCTTCTTGTTTTCTCTTTAATAACCATTTTTACCTCCTTTGGTGTCATGCAGCATCCGTTTTTTTTGTTTTGTTTTGTTTTGTTTTGGGTATTCCTTCCCCCCTTTTTACCTCCTTTGGTGTCATGCAGCATCCGTTTTTTTTGTTTTGTTTTTTGTTTTGTTTTGTTTTTTTGTTTTTTTTTTTTTGGGTATTCCTTTCTCCTCCCCATTGTCTTCAAAGCAATGTGGAATATGTAAGAGAAATGGTAGTATGTAGTGAGCAGTGCTTGTTAAGGCTCCTTTCTAAATTGGGATAATTTCCTGTTGTGATCGTCTAACTTCA